AAAATACGCTTTAAGCAGATATGAACGTTCGAGAGAAATCATGGGAAATTTGTGGCTTAAAAGCAGTAATTCGACCTTGCTGACCAGACGCTTCCACTGTAGCTAAATGGTATGGCACGTTAGGCTATATGACGGTTCCATGTAGGATACAGCTTCGATTCCTGTCGGAGAACACATATTTTCTATGAAATTTCTCGGACATTCAGGCCGATAAATGTTGTTAATAGGGTTTATTATAAACAGAGCATTTACTTAAATATTTGTATCTATAAAAATAACGTATAAACTATATATATATATCCCACACAGATATATAAAATGATCAATGATTTACCTTTCGACTTGAAGTTTCACAGAAAAATATACGCTTGTCGTTGAATTTAATAATAATAATTAAATAAATACAAAAAAGAAAACCGTACTCACAATTACAGCTCACATTTTAAGAAATGATTTATCTATTTAAAATGTGTGTGATTTTAATTTTTTGTGGGGTGTGGGGGTAATATTCGGAATCGAAAATGTCATCATGCCATTTCTGACCTTAGGTCTCTGGTTGGGATTCAGAAAGAAATGAGTATACACCAGAAAATAAATAAATAAAAGTAGTAGTAGTAGTCGGTTGACTGCAATTGAGATTGTACAGACATTATGAAGTCCATGATCTTGTCGATGGTTGCGTGGTATGTACTATCCCAGGGCCATACAGGATTTTAAATTCAGATATGTCCTTCTATACTGTTTGTCAACCACGGTTAAAGAGCCCAGTCTGCCCTGTTGTTTAACCTGGGAGAAGGGAAAAGATGGAGTCATGCCTTTTCCAAAGTTATTTACGCGTAAGTGAATGTAACGACCTATTTTGGAATTCGAATTTGACTCACCAGTTTTTAATTCCGAGTCGCTAACCATTACATCTACGCATCTAGATATCATATTTATTTTAAACACGTAACATAAAAATTATTAATTATATATATATATATATATATATACATACATACATACATACATACATATATATATGTGTGTGTGTGTGTGTATTTGCATATTAGTGTATAGTAAGGTTAGTTTTTTCAAGGACGAGGCCACAAAAGTGAAACGCTCATTGAATATCAAACTGACGACACGATACATGACACGACACTAACGAATCCACCCACAGATTCTTCAATGTTACTATTTATTCAAGAACTTCACCGAAGCTTAATAATAGAATGCAGTAGAAGTTATACTAATATGTCTTTACATATTAGTACTACTTCTGCTTTTATAGGTCAGTATTATTATCCATGTTTATAGCAATGTGACAGATTAAATTACTCGACTTCAATATTCAATTTTAGTGAAGCGAAGAGTTATCAACGTTAAATCAAAAAAGACCGGTACAGAGACATGGATAAAATGTTTCGTTGTACTGTGTTTAGATTCTCATTATAAATTAGATAGGGAAACCTAGTTACTCGATTGAGCGATGTTTGACATAAGAGTAAGGCAAACAGTTAATATTTCTTACCAATATGCTGCAAGACACAACAACACATTTAAATGCTGCAATGTTTCGTGTCAACTCGTAATCAGTTTTTCCTTTGCATTGCAACTTTTGTAACAAGTGTCAATATTTTTGTCACTGGAAATAAACTGAATCTTGATCTTCATTCTACCACTGAGCTATAATCGCAACCTATTATTCTCCTTACGCTAACAAATTGGAATAAACAAATCCAACTGATCTGGTATAAAAAATGTGACCATAGTGCCGTAGTTTTTAATCATTTCCTGGACAAATGTGCTTATTTGAGTGTTAGTAGTACAGGTTAAATTTCACTTATCCGGCGAGTAATGGATGCCAGAATAGAAAATTTTCCGAACCAGTGATTTTTTTGTTTAATTATTTCGGCCCAAATAAAACAATAAAGCCAATAAGACGCAAGAGGTTACCGAGTGTGTGAGTACATGAGAAAAAGAAAGACATTATTAAGGAGCAAGAACAATAAAAGAACAGGAATTAAGAAGACAGGAGATAACGATTGACATTGCATTTAAATTTTTGAAGATCAAAGTTGGTTTAAAGCAAGAGGCCAGAAGAGAGTTCCACAAGAGAGAGAATAAACTGCTAGCATAGAATTTACGGTTACATAAAGTTAAATTTCATATATATATATATATATATATATATATATATATATATATATATATATATATATATATATATATATATTTGTATTATTGTTGATACTGATGCGTATCATTTTGATTCATGGGTAGACATAAACATTGCTATTAATTATGTAAGTAGAGCTGTAATGAAAAACAAATTGTACAAAATTTTAAAATAAAAACTACCTTAAAACATATTAATATTCGTTCTTTGATAAATAAGTGTCAAAAATTTTATTAAAATTAAAATAATTATTTGATTTTTGGTAGATTTTTAAAATTAAGTTGTTTTAACTTGTAACTTTTAAATAAATAAACGGGAAATTCTGTCTGTCCATCCTTCTAAGTCAAGCCACACTTTCTCTATATTGGGAGCTGTGTCCTGATCAGCTAAAAATTCAAGTTTTAAAATAACTGAAAAAAATTAGCGATTTTAAAAGTTTTAATTTATATTGTGTTTAAAAAAAAAAAAAAAAACTTTATGAATTTTAAAGAAAATATTTTAAATTCAGTTTCAAATATCTCCAAAATTTTATGAATTGAGGAATTTTTTACTTTTTATTTCTTCAAAATACCAACGAATCGGAGTTAAAATGAGAGGTTTCATGACATGGGGTTCTGAAGTTCTGCAGAGTTTGTGACTTGAAGAAATCAATTTTCAACCTGAATTGGAATTTCGTGCCAAATCGGTCTTGAACATAGACCGAATCAGATTTAAAGTGAGGTTTTGAAGTTCTATCGAGTGAATTGAGGAATCCAAGGTTATTTCTTGAAAATGCAATGGGAAAATCCAAACGACCAGAGCTATAAGACAAACAGAGAGAAGAGCAGAAGGAACAGCAGCGGATGCACACGCTAGGAGAAGAGTGCATGCTGCAAACCATAGAAGATGAAGAGCATCTGAAATATCAGAAGTGGTACAAGCCAGGAGAGAAGCAAATGCTGCAAGACGTATAAAATCAAGGACATCTGAAACATCAAAGGAGGTGCAAGCAAGAAGAGAAGGTCAAGAGCTGCAGATGACAATGAAACTTCATCCAGGAGAGAATCACATACAGCAAAGAAGAGAAGCTCAATACGAGAATCAAGGCGAGAATCATTGGAAACACCGATAAAAGACATAGCAGATAGGTTAGTGATAATCACAATCATGCTAAAATTCTATTCAAATCATCCAAAGATATCTAATGGATCAAGGATCATTCAGCGTAAGCAATGTAATGCTCCCAGATTCATGTGCTGTAACAAAGGAAAATACATCTGGAAGATCTACAGGATCCTCCAAAGCTAATGCTAATACTTATGGATGGGAACTCAGCTGAATCAAAACACTTCATCCATCACATCGGAAGCTGCAATAACTGTTTTGCAGCGACCTCATTTGGAGCCAAAGATGTTACCATGCCAGGAAGGAAGACAACTTGCAGAATTCAGGACAGAGGCTAGCTTAAAATTCCGCACGGGATGCAGCTTTTAAGCTATTTTCTAATATTTGGATTCTGAGGTAAATATCTTTTCACACGACCACTTTTTATAATTAGAGTATACACAAATAATTTTTACATCAGAATTTTCTCCAGTTTTTCATCTTAATAATAGCACATATATTTTGATAATAAAATTTACTTTTAAAGAAGTTTGTTTCCCCCCACCTTATGTGACAATTTCCCGCCGAAAAACAATTTTCATACCTGAATAACCGCCAGATTAAAATTACCATCCCTAACTATCGAAGCTGCCGGATTAATGAAATCCGGATTATTGATTTTCAGCATGTAGTTATATTAATGAATATTTTATAGTTTCCGGATTTTAAATAAAAATTGAAGGAAAGACAGTTTAAAGCTTAAACAAACTATTTTAAAAATTTTCAAAATCAAAATACCAGTTATTACATTTTCTGACGTCGAGGGCTCTCTGGTTTCAAGAACGTTCGACAATTTTGACTTAAAAAATATTAAGAAAGAAAAAAGAAACTTTAAATTAATTAGGTTAGGGATCGAAAAATAAAAAAAGTTATCTTCGGATATATTGTAAATTTTTAAGTCTTATTTCAAGAGAAAAATAATGTCTTAAACGCCGGCAAATTTAGTAATTTAAATAAATATAGTAATTTAACTAAATTTAATAATTAACTCTTGGATATCATAAATTGTACAAATAAGATATATAAGTGATGAGATTTTTGGTTTGTTTTGAAGACCAACTCCTACACGAATTTAGCTTCAAGATTGAGACCTTAGACATCTATGTGGTTATTTACTTACAATATCAAGTAAGCTTTGCACCATAGAGTCAGAAATAACAATAATATCACAACAGCTAATACGACATAAAAAATCTTTAAAAAATAATAGTAATTTCTTAATGAATTACTTTGTGAATATCTTGTGAAGACACCAAATGTCTGTCTGTGGGATGATCAACAAATCTAGTGACTTTTGTATGCAAATAAGCATCGATTGAGATGAATGGTAGTAACTTTATAAATAACAATCGAATGCGAATAGCTTCAATAAAAAATGAGGAGAAACGAGGAAAGAGAAAAAAGAAAAGAGAAAAGGAAAAAAATATGAAAAGCAAAAGTGTATCTTTTATTGTTTTTTACGGTTTATCAACCTTTTGCGTGTTATTCAAAGTCAGAAAATATTTTTGGATTGTAAGAACTTTTTGGAGATAAAGACGATTTACTGATACAAGTCCTACTATTTAATCCATAGTTGGGGGAACAGGTGGCTTCATACCTTTTCCAAGGATATTTGTGCGTAATTGAATATAATGAACTTGGCTCTTGGATTTCCAATTCCGAGCCGTTTTCCATAACACTACCCGCACATCCAGGCTGATATTCCCAAGTGGTCACCCATTTAGATACTGACCAGGCTCGACGTTGCTTAACTTCGGTGATTGTACGCGAACCAATGTTTCAACGCGATATGACTGTAAGACTCGAAAATTGAGAAGTGAAGAAAAAATGTAAGTTAAAAAAAAAGGAAGAATGAAAGTTAAATCTAATTGAAATAACTTCCGTCTGAATTTCTAGAAGTTGTCATTATTTACACTATTTACATTCGGACTATTATCCTCATCTTTGTTGTTGTTGTTATTACCTGATCGCCTTCTGTCTGAATTTCTGGGATGAGGAGTTATCATTATTTACACTACTACATGCGGACTATTGTCCTCATCTTTGTTGTTGTATATCGATCCAAGTAACCTAAAGAAAATTCCGAACTGAACCCTTTATTTAATCAACGATGGTACGCTGTCCTCGTTCCAATGCACTTGGCTAGGGATATCTCGTCAAGTTCTTATTTTTAGTACTGTTCACTTATTGCGCGCCCTGTTTCCACCGAGTCCAAGTCTATCGGAGTTGAAATAATGAGAATAAAATAAGGTGAAAAGCAAAAAGAAAATTAAAGGAAAGAAAGAAAGTCATTACAGAAACAGAGAAGTAGAAAGAAAATGAATAAATACCAGCTTAAATGAGAAAGAAATCGTCGAGATTTTAATATGGGAGGAGATGAAATTTTATCCTGTGAATTACACCTAAAAGTAGTTTATAACTCTATCATGCAGTTGACCTTCATCCGTGACGATCAAATTTAAAAACTATTAGTCAACCACAATTATTATTATTTCGTAGAAAACCGGCCGGCTGTTTTAATATTGTAAATTATATTTTAATGTCTAATAGAAAACACATATCACTTCATATATTGTCATCCACAGAGAGACTGTTTCGCTGTATCACAGCTCATGTGGCTAGATGTCCGGTTGCCTCTAGCTAGGATCGAAACCCGGCTGAATTGGCGTCATTCTACCCTAAGCTGTTGGCGCACGGCAAGGATGAACGTGAATTTAAGCGTATTTATTTTTAGATAAACACACAGTGACTGTGAGAACTCGATTCGCTTTACCGAAGAGTCTTACACACACACACACACACATATATATATATATAAATTCCCGATGAACAGTGACCGACCACGAGTAAAATTTCATGCGTTTTCGCGTAATCATGAAGTAGTCGGCAACTGTTATTTATGAAAATGGGCATTTTATACTACTTCGACAAGTTCAAGGTATTACAACGATGTACATACTATGCTCACACCAACCAAACTTACCAAGAGGGGAAATAACCATCCGGCTTAGATGGAAATGACTAGGGTAAAGAAAAAAAAACAGACACAAGAAAAATTTCAAAAGCGTTCATAGAAAGTGCTGTGTAACAACGGAGAACAGCAAAGGCCTAAGCAAAGCAGCATAATGATAAAATCATAATCGTGTTCAACAATGCCAGGCTCACAAAGGTATTGTTGAGCACTATTTTGATTTTAGCGTTATGTTCCTTTGCTGAGGCTCTACTCTTTCCCTTGTTATCGAGCACTTTCTAGGCAGGCTGCGCAGTTAAGCACCTAGCCAGATGACGATTATGTGTTGGATGACAAGAAAGTCGAATAAGTTGTTTGTAGACTCTTTCAAAAGTGGGTTTTCTGACTGGATATGAAAATATTTAGAATTCTGGAAATTTATGAAAACAACAGGGAATATAAGATGGCGATGTGGTGTTGGGTGGCAAGAAAGTCAAATAAAAATCACAGTACATCAGTAACTTAAGGGGGGGGTGAGAAAAACTACATAACTATTTTGAGATATTGAAAAGCGCTATAACAGCTAAAAAAGTTTTAAGTGAAATAGTTTTGTTATTTAGAGGTCATGAGTAGAATTGGCACTTAACAAATAATGGACATATCATGGGGACATTGAACTTATTGCAGAATTCAATCCATTTTTACGTGAATTTCAAGAAATTTAAAAATGAAAACTTCTCTATCTAAAACAGTGAAAGTAGAACGGAAAATATATGCAAAAGGAAAAGCAAATCAATAATCTAGACACTAAATATTATTCTATTATTGTTGACTGACAGTTGTTGATCAGCTTGTAATTATTTTGATTCTGCTATAATTGTTGAGATATGTTTAACATTTTTACCTTTGTTTAACAAAATATAAATTATAGGTGAGCATTAGATTTCACTTGAAAAAATATCCGTGGTCTGTCGTACGATACGGTGTGTAATTAGGAAAGGCTAGGAAAAAAGATCATAAGCCCTTCTGAAAACCAATAATTAATTTTCAGTCTATGTGTCATTAACCTTGTTAGAGAAAAGACAATGTCTACTGTGTCTGAGATGGTTGACTACTTCGTATGTTTACATTCAAAGTAGTCGACCATCTGAAAATTAGTTATACAAAGTAGTCGACCATCTGAAAATTAGTTATACAAAGTAGTCAACCATCTGAAAATTAGTTATACAAAGTAGTCAACCATCTGAAAATTAGTTATTGGTTTTCAGACTGTGTCATTAACCTTGTTAGAGAAAAGACAATGTCTACTGTGTCTGAGATGGTTGACTACTTCGTATGTTTTCTTTTCTGAATCTTCACTAAAACAGAATTTCAAACACGCAAAGCAATCTACAGTTTTTCTGTAAATAGCTTAAGTGTAAGTCTAAGTCTACACACTATGGGGTAATTAAAAATCGATATGCAGATATTTTACAAGATCATAATTGTATCCAACTGAATACAACGTATTTAAGAGATAACCTACTTCATATATTTATGTGTGTGTGTGTGTGTTAGACATAGGCTATCGCATTCCACACTAAACACAATGTCGTCTATAATTCTAGATATCAAAATGAAATTTCCTGGAAACAGTATGTATCTCAAACCTAACCAGAAATGAAAAATGAAAGTGAAACATAGACATTTAGTACTTAATTCAGACAGCAGTATTTATTTAAAAAACAAAAAAAAACTGTCGTTGTAACTATTGAAAGAATACTAGTGTTTTCATGTTTCATTCTTTCCTCTCAAACTTTCCCCTTCAGAGACACAAGTTTCATTTACACATGGGGTACTTTTTAATCCACTTACATCAAACCGGTATAATTCTTCTTTCGCTTCTACTCAAAATGAACAACTGTCGTGCTTGACCCTATCTGCTTCTCGTTAAACCACGTGTGGCTTTCATTTGCTATACTTCCTCTTCAAATCTCTTTGCTCGTATATTCCGTTTGCTTGCTCTTTTCGTCAGCTAAATGTCTGTACGTAACCGTAAGTTCTATGCTAACAGTTTCTTTTCTCACACGCGGAACTCTCTTCCAGTTTCTTGCTTTCCAATCAAGTTTGATCTTCAAAAATTTAAATACTACATCAATTATTATCTTCCGTCCTTTTAATTTCTGTTCTTTTATTGTTCTTCTCCTTAATAATGATTTTTTTTCTTTTTCTTATATTCTTTCACATCCAGTAATCCTCTGCGTGTTAGTGGCTTGGTTGCTTAGGGTGAAATGATTAGAAAAATGTAATTGCACACACATTATATATATATATATATATATATATATATATATATATATAAACAATATTTACCAGTGAATTAGACGCATTCGAAAAGATATTGTTGAAAGATAAATGTTTGTTGAGTTGTAATGTCACGATTAGAGAAGTGTCTTAGACATTTGATATTCTAACCGTAGCCATCAAATATAATACTAAACACACACTGTGTTTTTCTGTGATGTCCTTAGGGTCACGATCTTTGGTTATGTCATTAAATGTAACACTCCAAGTGACGAATAGGCATGTGTCTCGGATTGGTGACGTCCTGGACAGGTAACTACGGAAGGATTACCTTTGCGTTTAGAAGATCAAGGTTGTGATATCGCAAGATCGAGACAACTAGTGTCACAAAATGCTAAAGTTGATGGGTTCCTGAAATTGACTGAGGTTTTAGAATACCGATGAAGAAAATTAGAATACATTTAATAAAATATTAATAAGATATATTGGGCTGAAACAAAAGTTCGTTGCGTTTTTCAATAGTGTCGTTTGAATACGTGACTTCTTTTCATACGTTACTGAAGTTTATGATATGTATAAATATTCCGAAAAGTGACATTTGAAGGCATCTTTCGATATGATTCATATGTGGATTGTGAACTTTAAATGTCTTATGTTACAATGAAAATGCAGGAAAATGTGTTGCATATTCGTCATTTAATGATCTTTTATTTCTGGAAAGAAAACTCTGTACAAGTAACAAAAGATATGTGACATTTATGGAGATGGTGCCATAGCTGAGAATACTGATGATAAGTGGTTCGCTAAGGTTCAGAAGTGGAGAATTTAATCTGGAAGAAAAAAAAACCTCTCGGCAGATCTGTATTTGTTGATGAGGATTAAATCAAAATGCTGGTTTAAATAATCCAGTTTACAAGGTACGGAACATCTCATAAAAACTCTACATATCTCATATGGTGGTTGGGGGGGAATTGTAAAACATTTTCAAACACTTCGATACGTGAATTTTTATGAAATTTTGGTTCCTGACGATTTAACGGGGAAATATTTAATGGGCCGGATTTCCATTTGGAATTCTTTGCTCAGACGAAATAAAAAGGACCATTTTCTTTTAAAGAACGATAACGGGCGGCGAAAAATTGTTTGCGAAAATGTGACGCGAAAAAGGTCCTGGAAAAACGAAATGAGCCACCGTTATTCACTCGCAACGGCCAATCTGCATTCAAAGAAAGTGATGCCGTGTATACGTTGGCCGTGGAAGGGCATTGTGCATTGTAAACCCTTTTTACAAAATCAGACGCTGAACGCAGATAAATACTGTCTCCAGCTTACATTGAAACACCGATTACCGAGGTTAAAAATAGCGTTGAGCCTGGTCAGTACTTAGGGAGGTTAGGGTTAGGGAATGTCAGGTACTGTAATCTACGCGACAGGCCAAGCAAACCGGCGATGGATACAATCTCGCTACTGAAACTAACAGAAAACCTTCGTATGTAGAAGTGCTTCGTCGCAAGACTTACCTGAGTGTGTGCTTAGTTGAGATTTAATATTTACTTAGCTTAGGC